AGAAGAATCCCATGGATTTTTCATCTCCCTTAATGCAGCTGATCTCACTTTGGAAAGTATCCCCTAATGCCAGGTGAGGTTCAGGCTGAAGTGACAGGAGTTTTGATAGGCTAACGAGAGGCCTGGGCTCGAGAAAGGGTTTGCATAGGTGCTGGGTGCCCAGGAGTAGTAGACAAGGAGGCCTAGAAGTGATTTGCTCATTCATTCTTGAAGTCAGTAAATATATATCAAATCCCTCCCAGTGCCAGGTGCTGGGCTGTACTCCAGGGATTCCAGAATTCCAGGGATTTGGTAAGGACTAATAGAATACTAAGTAGTCTAGTGTTAGTAATAAGTACCAAAAGTAGAGCAAGTAGGTTACTTAAGTATGAATCTTCAGGTCCAGCTGATAGTAGATGCTCTATAAATATTGCTAAATTGAATTGAAAAGAAACCTCAAAATGATGTTTATCATGGTGATTGTTTTGCTTACACATGTGCTAAACCATGTTGGCCTCCTGTTTGGGCAGAGAGTTAAGTCTGACACTTTTTATTTTTCCACAAACAGGTTTAGTAGTTCTAGTATCTAAAAACATTGCTCTCATTTTATCCAAAACTTAAAATATCTTAAATAAGGTAACCTTTTCTATGATTTAATTGAGTTCCAAATGTGGTCCAGCACCTGTCAAAACCTTGTTTTGACAAAGTCAGTTCAATGGACATGTTAATTTACTGATCTGTGACACACATCCCAAGTTCTATCCCGCACAATTAGAACATCACAAAGCTATGACCTGGCTACAGCCTTGCAGCTTCCCTGGGCAAAATGCCTCCTCAGGTGGAGATCTAGCAACCATAAGCAGTACGGAGCAGTAAAATTGAGCCTTTTGAAAGTGGAGTAATTAAAGTTAATCTTGACTATGTAACTCACTGTTCTTAATAGAATAATTCACATGATAAAAATTATGTTTGAGTTATTTCACACAAAAAAATTCTCTGTAGGTAACTGTAAGATTTTTTTTGTCAAGAAGTGAAAACTATATAATCCATGCTACCCTTTCCACTACATATATCAAAGCTTTTAAGGCCTAAATTTGTTTTCCAGTTGTATTCACTGGCTCATTCCAGCTGCCTGGTCACACTTGCTTTTTCTGTTTCACTCTTACATGTCTTACTTTGTGTATTTTAATCTGCAAACCACCTGAAATCCTTTTGGAAACAATCCTTTCCGAGATCAAACCAAAATGTACTAAATAGCAAGACTAATAGAAGGATGCTGTAGTTAACTATCTTCCCAAAATGGGAAGTTGAATAATAATTTACTAGAGAAAGGTCCATGAAAAGAGTGAAGATTAGGTTAGGTGGTCCATTATATTTGATGAAAAAATCTTTAGCCAGCGAAGTATTTATCTTGTTCAGTCAATGAAAGGAACTCTGCAGGCATCCATGTAATATAATGCGGCCTTTAGTTACTCCAGGGCATACATGTTCCTTACTGGAATGGCAGTCAGCAGTAGCTCTAGTGTGTGTTTGTTACATTCTCTCACCCAAGAGAGTTGGAATGATTTGCTAAGAGAGCAAGGGTCAGGCATAAATTCAGATGGTGTCAACGCCACCTCAGCAGACTCAACTCAAAGAATGAAGAGCGCTGACGCTGCACCGCAGCACCCGGCAGCTTCTGCATTAACTCCCTGCAGCAGACCCGGGAGCCTGATCGGGTGTCCACGGATAATCCAAAAGGAACTACTGGAGATGTCAGACACGATCTCTTGTATATACATAACAAAATGACAATGCAGAAATCAAAACTGACATCATAATAAACATCTAAAGAAAGGTGCTAATAAAACAGGTAAGTATGTTATTGATCGATTACCAGAATTGCTACTCAGGGGTTATACATTCACCACTGGCTGGGATTTGCTTTATTGCTGCATAAATTAGCTAGCACTACAAAGAAGCATAGAAAGCAATCTGTCTATTGTGGACTCCCTTTAGTTACACCCCATTTGTTTCTGCCTCTTATCTACCTTGGAAATGAACATCTATTGCACGCAGGAAACTATTCCAGAAGTGTCATCCTTGTCCCTCTTCTCCAGCTCTCTTTGCTAGCAGGTAGCCACTCTCTGGGCTGTGCCCTCAGCCCACAGGTCTATGAAGAACTGTGAGACTGTATCTGCCTTTCTTCGGTGATGTAAATCCTCCACTCTGTACTGTGTAGATCACACGCAGAAAACAGAAATCACAGCCACCTAAGACAAAGGTTGCTGCTGGGTTTTAGTTTACCTCTATCCCTCTCATGGATACCTCTATCCAAACCTGGTTCTGAAGCACATGATTGATTTATGGTTTGATTTGCAGTCGGTTCTTAGCAAATGAGGCTCAATGACCCTCCCTTTATTGTTTGACCAGATAAAATTTGATCCCATCTGCTTCCAGGTCCTCTTACATTCACCTGCTATTTCTGCTACATTTCTGAGAGAACTGTGACCTACAAAGACCACTGAGGTTGGGAAGAGATAGGCCTCCGTGGTACCCAAGTGTAGATGCTGGATTATTACATAATAGAATTGCTAGAGATGTGGAACCTAAAATGGCTTCGTGTTTCCTGCTAGTTGCCTCAGTTTAAGCTCTTTATGAAGAATTCTTCTCAGACAACCTAAAGCAAGTCACAAACCACCAAATGCAGAGAGGAACAGAGGTGGCTGGGGAGAAAGCCACAGCACAGTCCTCCTGTAAAGTGTAATCGAAGCCTACCACCACCCTCACATCAGAATGCTTCTTGGCCTCATTCATTAGGAGTGACTGGGAAAAACATTCTTCTGAGTCATTTAAAAGTCTGAACTTTACCATATTTTAAACAAAGGCACAGTGTGATTATTTTAAACCACACAGGGTAACTCAGTCAAGGTTAACAATATGGATCTGAGATCTCCACTGATCTTTAATCAATAAATAAGCATCTTTTGTAATTACCGCAGCCATTGTTTTAATGTAAATGGATGCTTTGAAATTGCTGGAAGGAGTCTGCGAATACTGTAATTTGTCCTCTTAAATTGCTTACACATTCCCCCAATCTTCTTATTTTCAGCAGCATCAGGAAATTTCTGAACAATGGCACAAAGACAAACTTCCAACACCACCCTGACATGAATTTCCAAATGTCCTAATTAGAAGATGTGACTTAATGAGGTTTTTATTATACCGTGAATTAAATAAATAAAACCAGAAGAAATAAAACCAGAAGAATGCATCTTGAAATGACCTTCAGTTTAAATGTTGACATGCCTGTCTATACTTGACTTAAGGAAGTGCTTAACTTTGTCCTTCAGAATGTCAAACTAGGCCTTAGATCTGCCGTGTCAAGGGTGCAGTTAAAGCAATAAGCTCCGGAGTAAAATGCACTGACTGGCTCTCTCAAGTCATTTAAACCAATAAAGGCTTTTAGCAAGCTGATGACAAGAGGATAGGAAATAGCCTTTATATTAGTACAATCTGAGCTCTTATTAATTTTTATAGAACTAAATGAATTATAGGAGAAAACGAAAAATGAACCCCAAGTTGCCTAAGGGGGACAGAATACTGGAGTGGTTAAAAGCTGTGGGACTGAAATCTGGCCTCTTCCAACCTGCTAGTTCTGTGATCCTGGAACAGCTTATCTCTAAGCCTCGGTTTCCTCTTCTGTCCCCTACAAATTTTCATAATGAGTAACAAGATTCTTTAACCCAAGTAAGTTCATGTTCATTGGCGAAAGGAGTGTCATTTGTGCCACTGGACAGCAACTTGGACATCCAAACAGGGTAATGAGTAACAGGGATATGTAACACTTTTCCTCATATTAGAATAAATGAGATAAAATGCTTAGCCTGGCATTTCCCACCCAGTAACTACTTCAAAATGGTATGGTATTACTTTTACTGCCACTGCTAGTACTGGAATTATGCTCCATGTCTAGTCCCATCTCTCTTCTAATAAATGAGATTTTAGTAAAATGATACTTCAAAGGCTATGTTCAGAACAGCAGGGCTGCTGCTGCTGCTGCTGCTGCTGCTGTGGATGATAATGACATGTCCGGGCTCTCTGCTGAGTGCTTTACATACACTCTTTTAGTTCTCACAGGGACTCAATGAGGGAGAGATGAGGTTTTATTATGATTTATTATTTGACTTCATAATTCACATAATTTCATCTTATAAATGAGAAAACTGATGGACACAGAAAAGCTAAAGTCAAAATTTGAAACTAGGGAGTCTGAATTCAGAGTCCACACTTTCAGACACTGCTTCATTCTGCTTCCAACTTCATTCCCACTTCAGACAATGACATTTCTGATGATCAAGCCTAGCACTGGACCAGTTTTCACATTTAGAGCATTATTACCCTCTTTGGATGTCCAAGTTGCTGTCCAGTGGCACAAATGACACTCCTTTCGCCAATGAACATGAACTTACTTGGGTTAAAGAATCTTGTTACTCATTATGAAAATTTGTAGGGGACAGAAGATAAAAGGTGGGTGGGTTCTGAAGTTTGGGCCTCATCTGGATATTCCAGCACATTCCAATTTATAAGGTCAAAACCCTGATCTGCAGAGCACTGTGAGTGCCATTTGACCAATTTCTAACAGTCTCAGGAATTCCAACTTCAGGAACTGCTTATAGTTCCCAACTGTGATTACTTGAATCACATCTTCTATAAATGCCCTTATATACAAGGGTAGTTCAAAAAGTTCATGGAAAAATTCACATTATCTCTCAACTCTATTTTTCCACGGACTTTTGAATTACCTTGTATTTATCACCCACCCCACTCAGCACCCCTGATCCTGAACTTGGTTTACTTTTCCATAGGTACCCCTATGTAAAAGCGGGAGAATGTACTAGGATAAGTAGAAAAATCATAGCTTTCACTGACTAGAAGGATCCTTGGACGTCATCTGTCCCAACCTTCTCCTTATGTTGGGAAAGGAGACTTAAAAATCATTTCAAATGCTTTAAAGGCATTACATATTGCTGTGTTCTTACCCTTGCAGTGAAGTCCACAGCAGCCGCTCGATTTAACAGCAATGTGGCTACGTTGATGTTTCCATAGTGAGCAGCTATATGCAGAGGAGTGAAGCCACTCTGCAAAGAAAACACAGCAGACGTTCAATTGATTCCTGCCAGCCCCTTGCCTGACAGGTTCATATCATAACCCTGCCCAAATAAAAATGAGGAAGCAAAATATGCTGAGGACCACATTCTACTTGGTACTAGGTTTTGATCAGTGCCAATTGCTGATAGGGTTTCTAATAAAACCCAAACTCAAAAGGCAGAGGAATTGCTAGGGAGAAACTGAGGGTGGAGACTGAGCAATTTCTGTAAATCCGCAGAACTATATAGAGGTCATCATTCCCCAAAGTTAAAACAGGGACGATGAGAAAAATCTTAATAGCTCATAGAAAGCTTGACTGGTACCACTGTTTCATTACTGATGATGGAACTGTCCATTGAAACTCTGTCAAAATTCAATTAGCTTTATATATTCAATATAGATTCAAATTAACCAATGGTCAATGCCAATTTTAATGACAAAAGCAATTTTGGGGGGAAAGAGGTACTACCACAAAATTGGTTTTGTATAATGTGTGATTTTATTCCATAAAGAATCCACAAGTCGATCTCTTTATTAGCAAATACCTAATCAATAACACACTTTTCTGGATTATTTATACCAAGGTCATTTTACTTCCTTAAAAAATGCTAAAACATGCAGCAATTCACTTAATCCCCAAAGATTGAAACCTTACAGGAACCAAATGCATTTCTAATTTGTTAGCAAGCTTCTTAGCCATGCTAGCTATCTTACTGACTCTCGTGGAAGGGCAGGTTATATTGGCACCATTCTGAGGTACCTTTCCTTGGCTGACACCACTGAGGCTAAGTGTCATGCAGAACCCTAAAAACTCAGTCCTGGATGAGTAGAATGACAGGGTTGTCTGCAGCTGTAGGTAGAGCTGATAAGCATCTACTGTGTCCAAACTCTTCCTCTCACACACCTCTACTGTAATCCCCTTCAGATTCAAGGATTCCACATTCTGCCTTTCAAACACCAGGTTCAGCTGCAGAAAGCCCTGGTAATCAAACTACTGTCTTCTCTGGCACATGCTCCTTTCAGGGGCAGGGGTATAAAGCAGGTATCTAGCCTACAGAAGGCGATGCAAATAAGGGAAAGAAATGAGGCAGCAGCACTAAGTCATGGGAGTAATGAGGCAGAATCAGATGATACATATAAGTATGTACACATATATATATACCTCTGTTGTTCTATTCACCACCATCTAGGTTAACACATTTGGAAGCAAAGAGGAGGAAAAAATGAACGGTTAGTTCACCATTGGTGATATGAATTGCAGAAAGCTCATGATGGCTACATGATGAGGATGAAAGCTCTAATGGAAGCACAATAGGCACAGAAAGAAAGCTAGAAGGGCTGCACAATGGCCTAGTCCCAATGCCGCATTTCCTTCACGGACATGTTCAAGGGATACACGTCAAGACAATGGGAATTCTGGCTGGCCTCCTTTGGTGCTGGCATGCTTTCCGCAGCTCACCTACACTCAGTGCATTGCCTGTCATCTTAGATCTCAACCAGAGGCTTCTTTGTGCACATCGTCTTTAGCATTTTGTCATTTTTCACCCTGATGTCTGAGCAGAAGTGTTGAATACATTATGAAATATATATTAAAGGAAGGAAATTCTCAGATGCATAGAAATTTCAATTTCTTTTCAGGTGGCCTCCCTTTTAGCATGCACCACAGTTACGTCCTAGCTTTGCAGGTTAAGGGAAGGCATGCCTTAATTGGGTAGCTTGGACACATGTTTCTATTCCTTCCAATGAAGTTAAGTGCTGGGCATACGCTTGCCAAGAGGGAGACCAGGCATTCTCAAAGGTTGTGTGCCTAACACAGGCTGGTTGCATGAACAGCCCATGTCCCTTATGCCTCACCTTTGATTCCACATCTGCATTGTTGTCATTCTGCAGCAGCAGGGCGGCGGCTTTCGTGTCATCTTTTCGGGCAGCAATATGAAGAGCTGGAAGACGCACTTTTCCTTTTGTGTCATTTTCTAGCAGGAGTGAAACTACTTGGTCGTGACCTTGTTGCAAAGCTACTGCCAATGGTGTGAAGCCATCCTGCAAATAAATGGATGGGTCAAGATTGGCCCCAATGGATATTTTCTTTTTTTCTTTTCTCCTTTTTTTTTTTGTCTTTTTTCGGGCAATGGATCGCAACCCTCAGTGTCGCACCCGTACCGGACCGGGACGGGCAACGGGATCGCAACCCTCGGTGCTGCGCCCGCACCTCGCTCAGCCAGTGAGCGGGAACCGGTCTGTATGTGGGATCCAAACCCTCGGCGGGAGCGCCGCACTGTAGCAGTGCGCCACTGGGCCGGCCCCAGGATATTTTCTTTTTGATTAAATAAACAAAAATTATATTTTTTGATTAAATAAATAAGAAGGCAGCCACATGACTGAGTCCCAATTTTTGTTTCGGGTTATTAATGCTAACAACATATTCAAATGGACATATATGTGAAAAGACATTTAAAAATATAGATACATATAACCAAAGCAAAAAACAATAAGAAATCTGTAATAAGTTTATGGGTTTTTTTCTGTTAAAAAGTAATACGCATTAATATGGAAAAATTTGAAAATACACAAAAATACTATATAAAAAAGAAGATGCCATAATTTCAATACCTATAAAATAATCACGGTGAAAACAATAACATTTCAGGTTAAATTCATGCAAAATTTTCAAAGGAGCTAATCTAAATAAGATATAAAATTTGCACTGATATTTTAAAGCTGGGGTATATGCATGTTTGACTTATTATTATACCCTATTGCCTAGCATATATCTGGTGGCTAATCAGTATATGTGAATTAATGGACCATACTTAATGCTGTCTTAAGAAAGGTCTATATAAAAGACTCTTGGCTTCTCTGATCAATGAGGGAGAAGACACAGGGAATATGCAAAACATGACTTTATTATTTTGGTTATTAATTTTTTCTTTTTAAATTTTATCATAAATTGAAAAATTATAATTGTATATATTTATGGGGTACAAAGTAATGTTATGATTTATTAGTACAATGTGGAATGTTTAAATCAAGCTATCAATTACCTCGAATATTTTTTGTGGGGAGAACATCTGAAATTAATTCTCTTAGCAATTTTGAAATGTATAAACATATTACTAACTATATTTGCCATGCTGTGCAATAGATCTCAAAAAAACAGAACTTATTCCTACTGTCTAATACTTTGTACCCTTTGGCCAATATCTCCACATTTCCCCCAGCCTTTGGTAACCACCATTCAACTCTCTGCTTCTATGAGTTTGATTAAAACATGACTTTAGGGGCCACCCCGTGGCGCACTTGGGAGAGTGTGGTGCTGGGAGCGCAGTGGCGCTCCCGCCGTGGGTTCAGATCCTATATAGGACTGGCCATTGCGCTCACTGGCTGAGCGCGGTGCAGGCGACACCGAGCCAAGTGTTGCAATCCCCTTACCGGTAATGAAAAAGACAAAAAAAACCCTCCAAAAAACATGACTTTAGCATAAATTCAGAATTAAGTGAATACATGCATACTGTGTACATTTTGAGTCGTCCCTTGGTGTTACTCTGGGACTTGACAAAGAGGAGACAGCTACAGATATCACTATGGTTAATTAATTTATGGATGATCTAGGGCTGCTGTCTGGAATAAATAGCACAGGGTAGAAAATCCTAATACTGGCTCACAAATTTTAATTCTGCAATGGTTTTATTATTATACACATACAAAAACATTTAAAAATTACTTTTACTAGAGAACTGGCAAGCAAGATACTTATTATTTTATTCAGGTCATGATATTTTATTTCTGTAGTCCTTGTGGTACAAACAAAGGACTACTCCAATGGAAGAAAAAAACCTGGTCACTTGCACACTAATGTCTGTTGGTTTGCCTAAAACACCACTTCCATCATTCTATCCCTTGCTGGAAAACAGATAAGGGCTCCCACAATTTATCTGACTGAATGCAAAACAGCACCCTGATATTCAAGGATGTGCGCAATATCGATTCAAAGCACTCAAGGGACAATATTGACCACTCTCTTTCCATATACATCCTTTCTGCCAGTCTCCTTACATGTTATGGACATGCAGACTGGTTCCTACCCTGGTATCTAGACTCACGCTATTTCCCCATCCTGAAATGCCTTCCACACTCTACACTTCATGCTTCAAAATGTGGCTTAAGTACCACCTGCTTCTTTCAACTTTACTACCCAAGAAGACACAAAAAAGGAAAAGGAAAATGTAACCACTGTGACCAGGAGGACATTCCCTGCAGCCTTAAGTAAGATAAAAAACAGGGGAAGACGAGACGCCACCAAGATGTCACCAAAATGATATCACAGGTATACACTTAAGGTCATCAAGTTTAGAGTATAATTTAATGCTTTGAGAAAAGTAGCCTACATAACAGTGTAAATATATGATCTCATTTTCATAAAGATAAATATGTATGTGTATTATGTACATGTACAAAATATCTGGATGAATAAACAAAATGTTACCTCTAGGGAAAATTAACAGAGACTTTTTCCTTTTTATTGTACTTTCTCATTTATATAATGTAGTACTTTTGACAAAAAAGTAAATATGTATGTGTATTATGTACATGTACAAAATATCTGGATGAATAAACAAAATGTTACCCCTAGGGAAAATTAACAGAGACTTTTTCCTTTTTATTGTACTTTCTCATTTATATAATGTAGTACTTTTGCCAAAAAAGAAAAAAAAACGCATTGCTTAAAGGAGAGAGTGGTAAATGGAAAATTTTGTCTTAAGAGTTAACTCGCTTTTGAGTCTCACTTTTAAAACCTGAATAAAATCTAGGTGGTAAAAATGACAGCCCACTTCTGTTCTGAATCAAAACAAAATGGCTCCATTTCCACTGATGTGAATTTTTAAATTGACAGGGCCTATGCATAAAGGAAACCACTTTGCAGTAGGAAAACTGCAATTGAGCCGATTAGCACTGACAAGAAAGTGTTTCCTGCATAAGCCAATTAAAGACACAAAGATACCAGCTCTAAGGTGTGAATAGATAAAATTAGCAGTTCCAGATTTTGTTTCAAAACCAAGTTTAAATCATTTGGTTTGCTTTGTGCAGCTATTAAGAGAAAAATACAAGCAGAAAGGAAATGTGATACAAGTTACTTAAAAAAAGGGTCTATACCCCAGTTGCTCAGGGATCTACCTTCACTACTTTGTGAGCGTCTGACACGTAATAGGTGCTTAATAATTACTTGTAGAACAATAAAGAAACAAATTTCCCTCATGCTTCAGTATCTTAATTAGCAAGAGGAAGATCTATGTGAAAAAGAGATGATATGTAGTACACAGTAATATAAAAAAAGTTTTAAAAATCACATCATGCCAGAGACTTTCTACATATATAAGAAATGCTTACTAAAAAAAAAATACATTTGAAAGAATTTAGCAACATCACATCTTTAGTAAATTAAAAATCCTATTAAAAGCTCACTGTTTAAAGGATCCTTTAATTGCCCCCTACCGTTTGTTCTGTAAACAGACTTCTGTATAAATAACACCAATATCATTTCTAATAAGAGAGCAATACTGTAGTAAGAATAGCATATAAACAAAATGTCTTACTTCTTGTTCTTTTTATTCTCTACTACCAACAACTCAAAAGAAGAGAAAAAAAACCTCAAAGGTTCAAACGTCTATAGGTTATCAGATGTTGTTCATGTAGCACCCTTCATGAAAACATGGACATGACTTGTTATTACAGAGAACAGTTATTTTTTTCCCTTAAAACTGCTAAAATAATAACAAAATTCAATTAATAGAAAGGAGTAAACATTTTTTAAATATATCCTTTGCCAAAATACTGGATTAGTGATTTGAAGATCTCACATACTATTTTTCTTTAAGTTAGTTGTAGTACTTGTTTTTGGACCTTGAAAACTTAAATAAGTACTGGAGAACTCAGGAAGTCATTGGTGATTCGTTTACAAGCTACTTTAAATCTACCAGCAGTAAACTGGGGTTATATTTGCTTCTAAAGGAGAGATCAAGGTGTAAAAAGACCTTCATAGACAAAGACCTTCACAGGCAAAGAAAACACTATGGAATCCCTTTCACGGGAATGTTATATTACTTGGTATTACCATCCCAAAATGGGAATGAGTTTTCTCTTAGCCAACAATGCCTTCCCTGTCCCCAGTCTCCTGCATGCCGTGGCACGACCCGTATGTTGTACTTGAAGTCCTGTGCTCAGCCTTGCTACGACTGACTGTGAGCAGAGACAGCATTCTACACCTAGCAAATGTTTGTCCTTTTGATATCAGCCAGTAGTTATTTCTTAACTAGCTTTAAGAATATTACTATAAAAATAATACATTCGCATGATATGAGTCTCCAACAGTTATGATGGACATAAAGTGAAATGGAAGGCTCCCTCCTGAATTGTGGAGAAAACAGCTGACAACAATAATGCTGAATAGCATTGGATTGTCTAAGTACACCAGCATTTACTGAACAGGTTCCCTACTGGTGCATATTTAGATTCTTTCCAATTTTTACAAACTGCTATTCCTAATTATGTTGACAAACATTCTTATACACTATTACTGCATCCTAATGCAAATATATATATAATACATATTTTTGTGTACCTAATATATCTGTACTATAAGTTCTTAGAAATGGAACTGCTAAGTAAAAGGGCATATAGATATTAACTTTTGATAGTTACTGACAAATGTTCTGCAAAAGTGTTGTAACCAATTATTGATTTCACCAATATTGTAGAAAAGTTTCAATTTCCTTTCCCCATTAATATTTTTTCTTATCTCATGGCCCAAAGATTAGATCTCATTCTTTATCTGATTAATAAATTCTTATTCTTTGACTATGAGCAAGGGTGAGAATACTTTCATATATTTATGGTCATTTGCAATGGAACAGAGTAGAGAATCCAGAAATCAACCCATAAACCTACAGCCAACTGATCTTCAACAAAGGTACCAAGAACATACATTGGGGAAGAGACTGCCTCTTCAGTAAATGGTGCTGGGAAAACTGAACATCCATATGTAGAAGGATGAAACTAGACTCGCACCTCTCATCACATACCAAAATCAATTTAAATAGATTAGAAACTTAAATATAAGACCTGAAACTATAAAACTCCTGAAAGAAAACATACGGGAAACATTCCAGAAAGTAGGACTCGGCGAAGACTTTATAAATGTGACCCCCAAAGCACAGGCAACAAAAGAAAAAATAAACAAATGGGATAATATCAAACTAAAAAGCTTCTGCCCAGCAAAAGAAACAATTAACAGAGCAAAAAGACAATCTATAGTGGGAGAAAATATTTGCAAACTATGCATCCGACAAAGGATTAATATTCAGAATATACAAGGAACTCACACAACTTCACAGTAAGACAACAAATAACCTGATTAAAAAATGAGCAGAGGAGCTAAATAGGCATTTCTCAAAGGAAGACATAAAAATGACCAACGGACACACGAAGAGATGCTCATCCTCACTCAGCATCAGGGAAATGCAAATCAAAAGCACACGGAGATATCACCTCACCCCAGTTAGACTGGCTATTACCAAAAAGACAGAGAATAACAAATGCTGGTGAGGATGCAGAGAAAGGGGAACCCTCCTGCACTGTTGGTGGGACTGTAAATTAGCACAGCCATTATGGAAAACAGTGTGGAGATAGAACTACAGATAGAACTGCCATATAATCCAGCAGTCCCACTACTGGGTACATACCCAAAGGAATGGAAATCATCATGTCAAAGGGATACCTGCACTTCCACATTTATCACAGTTCTATTTACAACAGCCAAGAGTTGGAACCTACATGTCCATCATTGGACAATTGGATTAAAAAATGTAGTATATTAAAAAGACAAAAGACAAAAAAAAAAAATGTAGTATATTTACACAATGGAATACTACTCCACCATAAAAAAGAATGAAATTCTGCCATTCACAGAAACATGGATGAACTTAGAGAAAATCATGTTAAGTGACATAAGCCAGGTACAGAAAGAGAAATACCACATGTCCTCACTTATAAGTGGGAGCTAAAAAAATAAACAAATAAATGTTTTAAAAAAGATACAATAATCACAATAATACACTGAACTTTCAAAAGGAAATAATAGAACTGAGGTTACCAGAGGCGAGAAAGGATGGGGGGTAAAGGAGGAATTGGTAAAGGGCCACAAAAAATGATTACATTGTTGAATACATTAATTATCCTGATTTGGGCATCACATATTACACACGAGTATTGATATCCAACTCTGTACCCCACAGATATGTACAACTATGTTACAATAACAGTTTTTATAAATATAAATATAAATATCTTATATTTTGTATATATTTATTATATATTTATATTTATATTTGTCCGTATAAACTGTCTCTTCATTTATGTAGTGGTTTCCCTGGAAGGCATTATCTCAAAAGCTGGGTGAGGTTATATGCAATCCCTCTATTGTCATCTTCCCTGTGTCATGCATGAAGCATGCCAGCAGGCAAGTAAGGGCAGAGGTATCATGACATGGACAACGCTGCATCTGCTCCAACTCACTGTTATGTTAAAAATAAAGAATATCTAAAGGTTGGGCCTTTATTATTAGCAATAGATTTCTAGTGACACACAACAATCGATCACAAACTTTCATCCAGATTAGTTTAAAAAATAAACTACATTACCTAAGATAGTATTAATAACTTAAATTACTTTCTATTCTTAAATAATTCTCCTACTGAAGACTGCAAAGCTTTTTTTTCACATACCACTTTTATTTAACACTAAAAAATGTACAATAGTTTCATTTTGAAGTATGAATTAAGTCTAATTAGTTAGCTTTAGAAACATACAAATTCAATCATTATAATTAGGCTAACAAATCTTGGAAAAAACAGACTTAAAACTAATGTTTAATCAAAAAAATATTTCAAAACACTTTGCCTTTGAGGCAAAATTATATGAGACAAAAAAGTTTGCTCAAGCAAATATGCTAAATATTAATAATAGCTAAATTGTAGGGTAGAACAAGGCATTTAAGAGCAGAAAGGTTATCTATGCAATGGAAGATTTTTAAAGATTAAAAATAGACTTTCTAATATATTTCATAGAAAACTCATGAACCCACACATTAATATGCAACTGCAATTGAAATACTGGTAGGGCTAATTCTCAAATCCAGGTTTACAAAATACACTGTAAACATGTGAACTTACCCATAGAAATAAAACAGTGTCTTACCTCTGTGGCTAGGCTCTGGCTTGCACCATTGTCCAGAAGAAACTTGACAACTTCCAGGTGGTTTTCCTGGGCTGCCATATACAATGGCGTGAAACCATTCTGCAAAATAAGAAAATGTTTATCTTCAGCTTTCTAGAGCCAATCTGTTTTTCGATGGTACTGTTGATATATGTGCTAAGAAAATGCCCACGTATAATAATTTTAATAATACTTTAGTGTAGATATTCACATTTAATAGAAAAGCTAACACCATAGTTTAAGCAAAATTCATAATTTAGTGTAATTCACAACTATACTTCATAATTCATAATTTGAGTGTAGATCATAGTTAATAGTCTATAGTTAACAGTTCATTGTTGATAGTCTAAGTATAATTCATAGCAATTTACCCACTTTAAATAAATAAGTACATTCACTTAGTCATCAACCACTTAAAAGAGCCAACCATGAGTGAAGAATTTTACTAGATACACTGAGGATATGGGGGAAAAAATATATTTGATCACTGTAGCTCCCAAGCATCAATTATCTATTTTAAATAAGGCCATAATATTTTCACATAAGGGTAAGTAACTGAATAGTTCCAACTTGAGAAGCAATTTAAATTAATTTCAAATAACTTCAAACTTACCACAGATAGTCACTTAGAGCCAAGAAAGGAACACTTATGTGCAAAATGGTATGATTCAAATTCATAGTAGAATCCAATTGGTAGTCTGCTTTTTGTAGGTTTCCTTTCCTCACTTTTTTTTTTTTTTTTGCAAAGGTATAGTATTTTTATATTCAGACTACATATATTCAGGCATACACACACACACACACACACACACACATACCTACATAGTGTGTGTGTGTGTGTATGCATGTCTACAATGTGCCTACACTTCCAAAGACCTAGGATCCAAGCAAATGAATGGCATATTGCATCTTATGTTTCTTATTATAAGTATATTGCCTATGTGTGTTTATTCTCTAGAAGAACACATTTCACACCTATGAAATACTGTAGTATTTTAAAATCTTATGGCAACATATAAACATCAAAACATATTTATTAGGGCTGGCCCGGTGGCGCACTGGAGAGTGCGCCGCTTGGGAGTGTGGTGGCGCTCCCGCCGAGGGTTCGGATCCCATGTGGAGACTGGTTCCCGCTCACTGGCTGAGCGCGGTGCGGATGCAACACCGAAGGTTGTGATCCCGTTGCCGGTCAGTAAAAAAAAGACAAAAAGGGGAAAAAAAAAACCAAAAACATATTTTTTAAACTATGATAAATTCTATAAATAAATTTTTCGGAATGTAGTTCCATGTAAACAAAGGTTCTGGAAATTTCATTGTATACATTACGCAATTCAAAGAATGAAAGTAAATATATTCTAAACTGAAATGTTACTAAATATCATTCAAACTTTTGTGATTCTAAAGGTTTAGGTTCATCATTATAAATATCAATTACTATATGATTATTTATTCATAATTCAGCCTCTAGTAACCTCACTTCTAGCTTACAGTTGAGAACAGAAAGCAAGTTAAAAAGATCCTTGAGCAGATAAAAGTGATATCACATAACAAGTCTACCACCAGAGAGCACCTACTTACACTATTTTGCACACAACTGTAACACATTAGGTTGTCTGCTTGCCAGCTTCAAGATTTGAAGCACAACATTAGGGTTGGTGGAATATGACATAGCATTCAAGCTTCTTTTTAAATGATTTTCCTGGCAATAAATCCGGAGCCCATAATGTCGCTCTGTTCTATCATGAAAGGTTATATCTACATTTACCCATGAATCAGGGATTACAGGGAATAACTGCTACACCGTGTGTACATGTGTGTGTGTGTGTGTGTGTGTGTGTGTGTGTGTGTGTGTGTGTGTCCATGTGCCTGTATGTCTTTCCTTTTCGACACTCTTCCCAGAACTATGAGGGAAACTGAAATGTACTTTAGGATTATTCTCATAATATTGCTGACTATTTTCTCATTTTCTTACTTGACTAAAATGAAAGATCATTTAATCCTTGGCTGATTTAAATATCTTTTAAGTAACAAAACAAACAAAAAAACAATAAAAAGAAAAAAAAGGGAAAAACCAGTGATTTTCCTCACAGCTAAATGAACTACTGAGTATCTATCTGCCCTCATCAAGCACTCTCTCTGAAAGCTGAAATTTCCAGAAGGTACATTCAGATTTTAGTAGTAAAGTTCTTAAGGAAAACTTCCAAAATGGAGGGTGTTTTCTCAGACATAAATATCAATCGTAAGTTATGCCAGTTGGTTCTCAACTTCAGGGTGGAGGTCTGCTGTGCTCCCAGATCACCTAAGAAACACTGGTCTACTCACACTGGTCTGGCTTCTAGCCCAGCGAATGTCTACTGCTCTTGTGATGACCTTCCAGAACCAGGCATTTCATTATCCATGAAGAAAGCCTGGCATCAGGTGCTGAGGTTTAAGGGGATGCTGTTCTGACAGACCTGGAGCTTCTAGAGAGTTATTCTTCAGAAGTACAACTTTTTTCTTTTTTTTTTTTTTCCTTTTTGTCTTTTTTTGTGTCCGGCAACGGGATCGCAACCCTCGGTGTTGCGCCCGCACCTCGCTCAGCCAGTGAGCGGGAACGGTCTGTATGTGGGATCCGAACCCTTGGCGGGAGCGCTGCCACGCTCCCAAGCGGCGCACTGTAGCAGTGCGCCACCGGGCCGGCCCCAGAAGTACAACTTTTAAATCACTCCACATGCCCTTTTTTACAATGGCAAAACCTGAGATGTGGAGAACTGGGTTACTTAGAAATAAAATGTAGGCAAGAGCCACAGCGAGATGCAGCCCTGTACCTGTTTTCTACAATAGCTTTTCCCCTTCTTGTTGAGTGCTTGCTGAAAGCTGGTCATTTCCTGAATGGTCACATTTTTGTTCATTTTTTTATTTTTTAAATATTTGTTTATTGATATAATTAACATGTTATAAAACTCACCTTTTTAAAGTGTATGATTCAGCAAGGTTTTAGTATATTCACAAAATTGGGCAAACACTCCCATATCTAATTCCAGAACATTTTCATCACCCAGAAAAGAACCCAAACCCATTAGTTGTCACTTCCCATTTGCCCCTCTCTATATTCCCTGGCAACATGAATCTACTCTCTGTATCTATGGATTTGCTTATTCTGAACATTTCACATAAATGGAAGCATATAATATGTGGTCTTGAATGGTCTTATGCCATTTTTATGTCCATATTAATAAAATGTTTTGGGTGAGGACTTCATGATGGTAATTTCAATCTTATAGGGGGCATTTGAGGGGTGTGTGTGTGTTTGTTTTATTTTGCTTTAGTTTGGGTCAACCAGCACCCATATCTATTTCCCCTTTATTTGACAATGTCACCCTATTTTCTTTTGGAGAATTACCTCTTCCCCATTATGCAGGCAGGACTTGTCTTGGTTGGACGTAGAAACAAATCGACGTGTCCTTCCTTAACTATGGTGTAGACCATGTGCAGGGTATCTTCTCTTTGCTCTTTCAGGTCTACTCTCTACCCTCAGCTCTGTTCTTTACCCAGTACCCCCCTCCCCAGTCTTGATTGACTGTAGGGATCATAGCAAAGGGCAATCTTATTCTGTGACTCTGGCTAGGTTCTCCCATTCTCTACTCCAATGATCTTGTTTCCAAAGCTTCCTGAAAGCTTCTTTAGACTTCTGTTCTCTGTGTTCTCCCATCTAAATCCAATAAATTCCCTTTTTTTGCTCAAGTTAGTTTCTGTTCCTGTAATCCAAATACCACAAATTAATACAAATTTTGCCTATCAAGAAAGGATCAACAAGGCATGAGAAAACATATATACTATTACGATTCTACGGAGAAAGTTACAGGTGTCCTTTGGAAAGAGTGAATAAAACATTATAGCACTCTCCAATTCAAAGAGGCTTAAGGAACCCATAATTCAACACGTTGTTACTGGACAACCAGCAGCTATAATGATTTTCTATAAAATGGCACCTGGATTGGGAGAGTGTTGAGATTTCATAAAGAATATTATTCTTCTCTTAAGAGAAAAGAGTACACTACTGTTTTTATATTAATGTCCTAACTTAGGAAACTTCCAAAGCAGACCTGGCCAAAAAGGAACATATGGGTGTCCAACTTTCATTTTCTTTTCTGTAGCAACAATAGATTCAATTCTCAAAAGGCAGAGCAGCTTAAGATGGAGCTAGTATGCTATTTGAAATCTGATTTTATCTAACATCTTCAATACCTTCTGCTCTAAATGTTTATGCTGTTACTATTCTAAGCACGCAAATCTACAGACTTATAATTTTGTAGATAATACTGAGGCATGCTGCATAAAACCCACCAAAATAAAATAAAATGAGTTCTCCTGTGATTTCATTTAAGTAAGGGCTTAAATTGTGTCCCTGAAATTTTCCTACCTATTCTAGTTATGACCAGCCTTTGTGTTATGACCAGCATCATAAAGTGCTGTTTTTAAGTAAGATGTTAAGGGAATGGTGAAAGATTTTCATTGATTCACAGGATACTAAATTTTGTGAAAGTCAGATAGATTAGAGATGTGATGTAAGGTCACAGGTGAGAGAGGCTCTATCTGGACTATGCCCATCTGTCTGACTTTGTCAGGGTCTGACCTTCCCACCATAGGGAATATCAAAATATACAGAAAGATCGAAGAAGCACTGGCTTACTCAAAGAGTCTTGCCTTTGTTAACATCGCTATGAAAATCTGTTCATTTAGAATACTTTGATAGTTAAAATATTATTTGGAAGAGACTTTACTTCTTTATAAACACAGTTCGTGGGCCGGCCCGATGGTGCACTGGAGAGTGTGCCGCGTGGGAGTGCGGCGGTGCTCCCGCCGAGGGTTTGGATCCCATGTGGAGACGGGTTCCCGCTCACTGGCTGAGCGTGGTGCGGGCGCAACACCGAGGGTTGCGATCCCGTTACCGGTCAGTAAAAAAATACAAAAAGGAAAAAACAAAACAAAACAAAAAAACCACAGTTCGTGCTTTATAGTATAGACTCACGAGGGAAGGAGAAAAGAGGGATATCATTTGACTTAGCAGTTTGAGACTTTCCAATAGCAAACACTGGTAA